CTAAGTTCATTTTCAGAGCATCTAAAAATGGTTTGATATCAAATTCTGCATCTCCCATTTTGTCATCCATGCTGAACATATCGTGATCGTATACAGTCTGAAAGCAAACATAAATGCAAAATCAGGACAATACATATTGAAAAAGGAACAGATAGGTTTAATCTTATACAATCACCAGCAAGTAATGAACTTTACCAGCTTAACAGGAAGATTTGCGTCTGAAACAGAAAGGGTAAGATCTTCATTCCATTCAGGATTAACATCCTTCTTTATAACTCGCGTTTTCAGTTTCTGCATAAGTTGACAAGAGTAATCAATAAAGACTACACAGAATAGGAAAAAACAATTGCAATTTAATGCCAAAATCCGAGTTACTTATCATATCCCAAGCAGTCCGAGATTTTGTGAAATTACTCACAAGAAAGATACATTATCAAGAGCCTTGAGTAAAAATAATTGCTACATGTATGTGTGTGTGATCTGATTCTGTCTCACTACAACAATAGCTTCTATATAAATTATAATCCTTCGTTTTATAAAGCTTAGTATTTCGACTGAATTAAGCATGCATTACGTACTAGTGAACTTAGAATTAAGGACATAACTCCTTCCGATACTTGCCACAGCTGCTCTTTTAGGAAGATCAGAGGAATCTAAACAAAACAGGTTAGGCTGTCAAGCTGCAGGGACTTGTGACTTATGTTGCATGTTTGCAGCAGTTTTGTGAGTTCTAAAAGTTCACCAACAGTTTTAGCAATTAATTTAAAATTTCCTTGAAAAAGAGAAGACTTCTATTCATCAGTGAAGAAAGTTGGACCTTTTAACGACATTCTGAATCCCAATATATTAAAATAGCAAAGGTTAAAACTACAGCTATATACCTTCAAACATATTTTCCTCACTCCAAGAGCGAAAGAATATTATGCAAATTGTTATACTATCTCAGGAGTACTATACTTGTTATACTAAAGGACTTATCCCGGTAGACACATGAAAGCTAGAAGCAGTCAAAATCACCTAACATTACTAGTTTACAAAGAAGAATATTTTCATAGATCCACGAAGAAAATATCCCGTTTTCCTGTTTTGCTTATAGCCTGCCGAAAATTGGCTACAACATCCAGTCCATTTATCTACTCTCCGAAACTCAAGCACTGTATGGCACCAAACTTCTAAAATATCCAAAACCAAAAGGATTGGGAATAGGGACTGCACACTGAAAGTTGTTGCCCTTAGTTTTGTATGATTACTAGTCTCCACTGCCACACCTCTTAGAAGTCAAAGACTAAGGGTGTGTTCGATTTTTCAATTTTTCCATGTTCGGTTGGTCAAATATGCTCTCTAGAAAAACAAGCTCCTTAGAAATGAAGAAAAACAAGCTCTACTAGTGACAATCCACATTGATTGTGTCCTCCCCACCCTCCAACACACCTCATCTTCACCCCCACCATCCCACACCGCTATCTCCCATAGTATTTGTTTAAATTATATATAAATGCTTTGAGGATAATAGTTTTTGCTTACCTACCGAACACAAGAAAATAAGTAGGAAAGTTTTCTAGATAACTTTTTTCAAGAAAACATTTTCCTTCATACCTAACACACCCTAAAGGTGGATCGAAATATGTAAACACTACAGAATTCAACAATCCTTTCTCAACCCCTTTTTCACAAGTCATGACTTACAGGATCATCTTCCCCGGACTTCAACAAGAAAACAATGCTGAACCACATGAATAATCAATGCCGGAGAACAAGATCCTCACTAATTCCAAGTTAATAAATAAACAAGAAGAACTTTATTTTATGCCTCCCGCACCTGACACTAGTTGTTTGAGGCTTCTCTTTTTTGTCGTACAAGTTGATAGACCCAAATATTACACTTTTGGGTTCATAAACTTTGAATTAAAAAAAAAAAGTCTCACTGTGAACAACATGGTATCAACCAATCCATTTGTCACTCATAAAACAACATATAACAGTCAACAGAGTAGCTATGGGGTGATCAAACCATCATATATAATACATCTCCATCGCCATATAAACAATGATTTCATAAGATTAACAAAAAAAAAAGCAATTTCATAGATAATCATAACCAGAAGAAACTAAACCAACCCAATATCCCAAGAAATACAAAAAATACACATATTGAGATAGAATTACAAAAAATTGGACAAAAGGGGAAACAAAATTCAATCTTGGAAACAATCAAATGCAAGCAAACATAAGACAATCAATCCCAAACTAATTGGGAATGAGAGAATTTTAATAAGGGCTTTAAAGTATGACTATATATATACATAAAAAAAAATTAATCATGCAATATAAATAATGTAATTTTTCGTCTAAAGATCTGCCTACCTGTTTACCCATTTTGACAACAACATAGGGATCACTGCTGCGGACATCACGTACAGCGAGGTTTATGCCTCTCTTAATTTTGATCCTTAAAAGACCTAAAAGATTGTCCATTAAGGATTTTGCTCTATTCTTCCTTCCTCTGCTGCTTAAACAAAATATAGTCTCCCCTCTTTATATTATTTTTTTTTCAAAAAAAAAAACTTATTGATTACAGTAATATAGCAGTTACTTAATTAATAAGAAAAAAAAATAATCTTTTTTTTTACTTTTTTTTCCTTAACACCTTCCCCACCAAGTGAAATTCTTCCTCTAGTCAATCTGAAAAGATGGAAAAACAAGTATATATATTAGAAAAAATAGTCACAATTTAGATATTTTAGGAGTATGAATAGAAGAATTTCATATATATTAGCTGGTTAGAATTTACAATTTATGATTCGAAATTTTAATTCTTTTATATTCTTGGATTTTGTATTTAACAATTTATATATATTTAATGAATTTCTTAACACAAATAAGAGGAAGGGGATTTAAAAAATATATTGCATAAATTTAAAAAATTAGAAAAGAATTCCATGTGTGACATTTTAAAATTCTTTGAAATTGTTTATCACGAATGACAAATCATGTAAAAGGAATTAGGAACCTCTTTAATAAGAAAGAATCCAATCCAATTTGTTACTGAAATTGACTTGCATCCAATTACAATTCTAAGAAAAATTCTTGACAAAAAGTAGAGAAAAAAAAGAAATTTAATTTCAATTATTTGAAGAAGATGGAAAAAAAATCCATTTTCATATGTAAATTAAAGTTGATAATTAATACTTACATTTGAATGATCTTCTTAATAAAGGAGCTTAGCGCTGCCTAATTAGGAGAGGAAGAAAGAGAGGAAATTGTTAAGGTAATGCCTATTTTGTGTATTTCTTGGGGGATGTGGAGTTTTACATGCAAAAGAGGAGAAAAAATGATGAATTTTAAGGCAAGGCAACAACTTCGAAAATATGTTGTTAATAGGAATTGTGGTTCTTAATTATATATGATTTAATGAGTGCTTAATTCTAGTCCATTAGGCAAATGATTTTAGCCATATTTATAACACTTACCTATCGTGAGTCTTTTCTATTTATAGTTATTATTATTATTCTAAAAAAACGAATGATAATATTGAATTTAAAAACATCTAGAAGGGGGAAAAACTGAATTAAACCTCTTTGAATAAGATCTTCTTGTATGAGGTGAAATTTGTGCTTGATAAACGGACAAATTATATTATGATACGTGGCTGAATTGAAATTGAAGAGACGTTGGTTCTTCTTACCTCAACCTAAGAAAATTCTGACATCACAGTCCCCCTACATGACTTGGTCTTCGAACAGATTAGCCGATAGCCTCGAGTCTAGGATCAATCTGCCCTAATATTCTAATATTACAATTTTTTTTATAGAGACTTCTTTTATATATATATATATATATATATATATCTTTTACATGAGTTATTTACTTATTTTTCTTTTCATCTTTCCTCTAACAGGAGAACCGGGAAAGTTAATACGTGAGCGTTATAGAACTGCTTCTCAAGTGGTTCAGAACCAAGTTAGAAGCTTTACTGCTTTTATTACCGGTATATGTATATGTTTGTATGTCTGGGTCCTGTTATTCTACATAGGTCATGTTATGATTTATGTTATATGCTATGACTTATTAGCTGTTTTGGTTTTGACACATATTTATTCATTTTCTTGTTTCTTGTTTCCATTGACAATTGTTCATAGGGTAATGGATCACTCTCTGTTACTTTTTTTCTGTGACTAGAAATTCATAGAGAAGAATAATAGTGAACAGAAACTTTCACCCTACTTAACCCCATTATTTTATAGATCTAAGCAGCTCTTCTTCTCTGCCTCCTGTTTTCTTTTCATTCTCAATGCACAGGTTTCTTATTTCCCTTATCCTTAATCAATCATTCTTTCACTTTCTGTTCTTTCCTAGGATTCAGGCCATCTGCTACAACAACAACTTCATTCAGTTCTGAATATCATTTCTCTCCTCTTCCTTTGAAATTCTTTTCCTTGCCCACAACACCAACACTCTTCTTTTCACCTCTTTCTTTTTCCCTTCTTATCTGGCATTCACCTTTTCTGCTGTTGTTCTCGCTTCCTGCCTTTACGTCTTCTTTTTCTTCTCCCATGGCCTTATAAGCCTCTTTCCTTTTTCTGACTATTAAATTGTTGATTTTTTTAAACCATCAAAATTGTGTTATTAAGGGCCGTAGAAAAATGAATATAATCATGCATGTTATGCTTAACCAAACGGTTTGATGAAATTATAGTGATCTAATACAAAATCTTAATAATAGATCTCAAGTATATTTACTAAAAAAAAAATTTGTGCATATATTACACGTGCATCATACGTCAAATAAGCATCCATTAGGTCACACCTACGTACATCCAAAACAATTAAATTAGCCCTTTCACAAACCACGTAAGAACAAAAAGAGTTATAAATATAAAATGTGAAAGAAACTAAAGAAAAGGATGTTATATTGAATCAAAATAGCACCATAAAAATGAACCAAAACCTCAATATATAAAGGTTATCATAAAAAGAGGTATGTTATTTTCCTTACATGTGATATTGGCACGGCTCAATCAAATAACAAACTCTATAATCTTATGTGGAGATTGTTATCTAATTGAACCACACCAACATCTCAATTAGTTGATCAATCAAAACGTAAAATTACCTCAAAATATTTTAATTCGATAAGTTGGTCTGATTTTAAACATAATGATTTGGTCAAAAGCCAAAATTACTTTGAAGTATATACATGTTTGAACAAAAAGTAGTAGTCATATATAGAAGCAAATTCATAGAATAAGTCCAAAATGGAATATGTATAGTTTTATTTGTTAATCTCAGTGGCATCATGAATTACGATCTAGCTCTACATTGATTGTAGCATTAACAAACGAATCAAAATTATTAGAGATTCTAATAGACCAGGTCGTCTGTATATATGGTCAATTAACTGTTCATATTTTGAAATATTTTTTAAAATAGAAGGGAGATATTTATATTGAGGATTCATTAAAACTAGTTGTTACATTGAGAATCCAACAACTAAAATAATTCTCCAAAATTTAATAACTTTTGCATGAATTTTGTATTTATATTGAGAATCCATTAATTACGTAAAAATTTAACAGTCATATAATTAATATTTTGAATTCGCCTTTGAACAGAGTACAGAGTAATATTCTCGGTATGAGAAAAAAGGGAGATACCATTGACAGAAACGCATTTTTCGGAGTGATCAAAGGGAAAAAACAAGCACAATTAACTCCACAAATATATCGACAAAAAAATTATATTAACATGACTTTTTGTATTTATATATTAGTCTTTGCCGTCCAAGTCAAACTATTTTATTGATGGCAGTTCACATGGAAATATCTTACTACAGTGACATCAACCAAATCAAAAAATAGAATTTAAAATGCCAATAAGAATTTCCACAATCTTAGTTCACAATCCACCAATCGTGATTTTTTAAGATATGTCATACGCTGAATGACTTTTTTTTAAAACAAAACAATGAGTGATCGTTTGAGAAATTTATTCAAACTTATACGAAATAGAAAAGCATTCACCTCTGATGAGTGCTTGATTTGTTAAAAAATATTTGAAAGGGAATATATTATTTTCATCTTAACAAAAAATATGATATATAACTAAGATAGTGTAAACATGTAAATAAAATTCAAGAATATTCTCTTGAACGACAAATAATAACCTATAGAAAGAAAATCCTACATCTTGACTAAAAAAATACTATAGAAAGAAAATGAACTTAATTATTATAGAAGATGATTAATAACCAGATTAATTACAAGTAAATTTCTTGATAACATTAATTGATAACCTGATAAAAATATATAGTTCTTTTAACTTGCTATCACATGTACTTAGAATTGAGTACGTTTCTTACACAAACATGCATGTTCCTATGAAAAAGATAAAGAGCAATATAATTAACATAACTTTGAAAGAGAAAAAAAGAACTTCTCTTAATTACACTAGCAAAAAAAAACTACTACAAATTAAACACCTATATAGTATTTTCGGATGAAATTGGCTCCCTACCTATCACAATTACAAGGACAAAAACATCTATAATAATTAATAATCAATGTCATATCTAGGTAAAATAAAAGAAAATTACAATGTAATATTACTACAATCTTCAACATTAATTATTTTGTGATGCATGGTCTTCAATATTTGAGACACTAATTTGTAGCAGGAAGTGGAGTACTGGAGCCTGAGGAGTTTATTGTAAAGTTCATCATATGTTGTGAACTTTGCTTGCCATTTCCATATGGTGATGCATTCACTACCCTGAAATGTGTTTTTGTCAGATATCACAACGATTAAAATAGTGGTATTAACACTTTTTGATGCTATCACTATAGTTTTAAATATTGTTGACACGTCAGTACATAGAACTTAAAACTCTAACCTTTCCTTGCGTCTCTCCAAAAACCTAGCCAAGGATGCCCTGCGAGCCTGAGGAACAGCTATAGAAAACAAACAAAAAGGCTATCATTATTGTGCCCGAAAAAATCTTTTGCCTCATAAACCACGCCCAAATTAAATGTAGGTACGTACGTACGTACCTGATAAATTATGGCTGGGAGGTTGACGAGATTCGATTTTGGATACTTCTGTTGTGTTAGAAGGTGATTTTAGGACTCTGATTGATCTGGTAATTGTTGTTTCATTCGTATTATTATTATTATGATCATGAGAAGGAAAATTTCGAATTGTTGTACTAATTGGTGCATTTCCAGCAAGTAACATAATAGCTTGAGCCTGAAATTAAAATATCGATCGAAGAATAATTAATTTCTGATTAAAATCAAATACTAACAAATAAAATTGATGATTTGTGTCTATAGGATATACCTTCTCTGGTGAAATATTGTCGTAAACACAGACAGAACCAGCGTAAAACATGGTCAATTGAGCAGGTCCTGGTGAAGTTCTAGGTGCACTCCTACAGTACAAACATTTTTTAATTACGACTATAAAAAATATGTCATTATTGTGTCATATAAAATGAAACATACTTTCTTAAATCGAGTTTATTAACGTACCTCAATTCAGTGGTACCCACAACACCATTGCGTGTGGGAACATGATGTGCACCAATTTGAGTACTATATGGTCGATGAATTGTATCAACAATATCAGTAGTTGTGGTTATGGTCACCAATCCAGCTGATGCAAGAGATTCGAAACCAATCTTAGGCTTATTATTATTATTATTCTCTTGGCCCTTGAAAGATAGGTGGTATTGAGGATGAGCCTTGTTGGAAAATGACCAATGCATTGCCGAACTTGTTGATCCTGTATTTCTAAGATACTTAGAATAATAGTTTTGAAGAATTTGATAAGAAACAACAACGTTTAAACAGTATATACAAAATCAGAAACTTAAAACTAGTAAAAAAAATAGAGGATTTGAAACAGATTAGAAATAATATACAAAATATTTTTCTCAAAGAAAAAAATCGAGTCCATTGAATGCACAGTGTGTCCTTAAGCAAATTATTTCCCTCAAGTATCCGAGGTTAATGGAATATATTCTTCCTAGCTAGATAGGACGATCTTACTCACCGGTGTATTGGTACCTAAAACTACGATGTCAGCGAACCACTCAATGGCAATACATTTAAAATACTAGATTTAGTAGTAGAAGAAGAAGTCTAGAAATTGGTTGTTTTGTTGTTGAAAAATGGGAGGAAATCCATCTATTTACAGACAATAAAGGGTAATGTGAACGGATGCTTATTATGTTTCATCAGAAAGGTCACAACCCTTCCGAAAAATTGCAATTTTTTATAAAAGTCATAACTTTTCAAAAAAGTCACAACTTTTCATAAAAGTCACACTTTTACATAAAAGTCGCATTTTTTCATAAAAGTCACAACTCTTCATAAAAGTTATAACTTTTCATAAAAATCAAAATTCATTCACACCTTTTAAAACCCAAAACTAGCCACTCTACATTAATTTTAACTTATAAGTAACACAATAGAATAAGATATATACTTTATTTTTTAGATTATTAATTTCATATTGTGAAATGAAGATTATGTATATAGGCTATACTTAACTCTTAAGTGACCTGACATTATTATTTTATTTTTTAAAAAGGTACTAATTATTGTAGACACCAATTTCAAATTTTTAACTCTTATCATGAGAATCCATGTACTAATTGCATTAAACACAACCATACATAAGGGTGTAACTGTAACCTAGTGGTAGGTTCAAATCTTAACGAAGTCAAACTATGCAAGTGATTTCTTTTCATTTGTTCAATCTCTAATTGATAGAATTATTCAATAATTGTACTGATGAAAGGTAACATATATCTCACAAAATTAATAACCCGAACGCCACAGAGTTGAACAAAATTCCATCAAACAGGAGTTAAGTAATTAAATCGGGCAACAGCCAACAATACACATTCAGAATAGATAGATGAAGAGCCAACCCATCAAACAATATACTAATGTTATTATATAATCATCTCTATGTCCTTTTCCCTTTTAATCAATATTGATAAATGTTACTCAAATGAATAATAATCCAATGCGCTCTTGATATTTGAAAATAAAGAATTAGGCACAGATAAAAATTTATAGCTAAATAACAAAAATTCTATACAAATCCCATTTAGCTATGGATTAACGATAAATTATAAGAAAATTAATTATTTCAAAACTTTTAAATGACGAATTAGTTGAAAATTAACAATAAAGTTTGTAGCTAATTCTATATTTTCTTATAATATTTGTCAACGTATAGCTGAAGAAGAGGGGGTGAACATGTCTCTGGAATTTAAAATTAGCATGTTAAGTGCATCTGATGGGAGATAATAAATTATAATTAAAGCAAGATCTGGTCAAAAGAGATAATTCGTAATCGCCTATAGTATTAACAGATTAACTTAGTGATATCAATCTTTAAAATGCACTACATATATATATGTATGATATATAACTTAAATCCTATAATAATTTGTGTTACCTAACTATATAGACTAATAAAAAAAAAAAGGTAGCTCATAGGTGCATGTTACTAATGTACTATATCCAACTCAGCCAAAATACAAAAGTAAATCACGTTGAAAGGAATCCAACGTTCTAATAAAACACCAAAACCATAGTATTCGCAAGCACAACAAACATCATAAAAATAAAAACACATTCTTTATTTTCCAGTACAATATTTCTAATATCAATAATCCACAAACCAAGATTTAAACCATATGTTTTGACCTACATGCAAATACCCATTTTTGGGTTTAACTAGTTTCTTGAGAATCCACATGCATGGAGTCAAACAGATTCATATTTGATTTCACGAAAATAAATTAGAAAAAATTGAAGGAGCAGAAATGATGACATTGTTTTTGACTTGATACAGAGCTTTAAGAACTATAAAATATTTTTGAATTTTGTGGTTTAAACTAAAAATATGTAGAATCTTCTATATTCTTATAGTCTTCAACATGTTACATGGAAAGTCAAAGTTTAAAAATTTACCAAAAAAAAGGAAAGATGAATTCTTTTTTAGCAGACTAATTAAAATAAAAAGTAAGGAAAACGAAATTAAAATGGAGGGAGTATCTACATACCAGCTGGATCCGTGGCCGGTTCTTCAAGGATTTCTTGTTTTACAGTCAACCCCATGAAATCTCTCTCCATTCGATCTAATTAATTCACTGCAACTCAAAGTTGAAACGCATAAATGAAAGAAAAATCGAGGGAGGTAGTGAGGCTTTCAACGTGACCCGAGGGATCGGCGTAGTACTATATTATCGGAATAATTAATCGAGAGATTGGTGCTGCGAGGATGAAGCGAAAACTATGAGAGAAATAAGAACTATAGAAGGAATTAAATGAAATTAAAGCTTAAGCTCGCTTCATTTATAAAGATTCGTGGAAAATTTCCCACGTTATTCTTAATTCTAATTTTCAACGTATTATAATTGGTCTTCTTCATGAAGTTTTCATATTTTATAAAAAAATAGAGATTTACACAGCTGTACTTAACATTGATGCATGCACCATGTTTTTCGAAAAAATAATAACAATAGGTACATTAATTTTCTTTTATATTTGATTATTGAAAGTACAATATAATACAGATTTATGATTAATGGTATAGGACAACTTAATTTTATAATATTCTTCAATAGTTTAAAACAATTTGTAATAGTCAACTTATATATGTTAAAGTATGCGGTGCAAAAATTATTTACACAATCAGATCATTTAATACTATTATTATGTTTTACCTGGTAAACTAGGTATGTCTTCAACAAATAATTTGCAAAAAGTATACTAGAAGAAGCTTCAATAAGCAAATTGAGAAAATTTGGAATTGTAATATAATGGTTATTAATTACTACTAATTTACCTTGCACGACACATATAACACTAAAAATTACTCCATTTGTTTATTATTAATCTTATAGACGAGATCAACAGATTTAATAATATACTGATTTGACTTTTAATAGGCGGAGCGGGTTAATAGGTTCGGACGAACCCACTAGCTTTTTCGTAGACCCTATATTTATATTAGAAAATTAAATAAATATATGTATATTAATATTTGAACCCCTAAACAAAATTAATTTAGAACCTCCAGACTCCTAAAGTCCTTAAGATCGATGATGAGTAAAGTTAACTGAAGAAAGAGATATAGTTAGTTTCAATCTAGTTCTTATCAATTTCATTTGAGTATATTAATAAAATGGACGTTAGACCTAATTCAATGAAAACGAGAAAATGGAAGATGAGACTTCTACGCACACCATTGATTACCACAAAACATGTGATGCAAACTAGTCTTTAGACATGAGTATTAAATACACTACAATATTGTTGAATTAGCATCAATCTAAAAACCCACATATCCATAAAGTTACATGTAAATTCATATCCCTTGTCATGTATACATGTGGGAACTAGGCTGCTAAAAAATGCCTCCATTGAATTGATTGCAAAAGGGGCCACTATTTTTTTCCCACATAATTTCAATTATTTGCTAGTGTTGGTTGTGTCGTCCATATATCACATAGTTTCGTTATATTTTTTGGTGGTATATACATATAACCAGTACTTCCATAAAAAACTTTATTTACTTTGTTTTCTTGGGAATTGGCCGTTAACTAAAAGACGCCATCAAACTGTAGTATCAATAATTTACAATTGAGTAGTAAGTCCCCCCTTTCTAATTGTTGGAAAAATAATGTATATTAACATGTGAACCCCAAACAAAATTGATTTAGAACCCTCAAACTTCTAACCTTGGCTCCGCCTCTGTCTTTTATGCACCTCTTAGATTAGTGATAGTTAAAATAATAATCAAACAATTAGTTTGATGGATATTCAAGAAGAAGTTTGATAATTCAAAAAATAATTATTATATTTTTAATTTAAAAATAACATTATTTATATTTCTATTTTATTTTAGTGAGATAAATTATAATCGCATAATTATTACTACTACTTATTTGGAAAAAATAAATTATACGAATATATTTTTTATATTCCATAATCAATTAAATAATCACGTAAATGTTGAAATTAAAGGAGTATGAAAACAGGTCATTTAAGCACGTGCTCCACGATAACACGAGATTAGTGGCACGTAAGTATCCATTAAACTTGTCCACGTGTGGCCATATCATTCGACTTCACTTCTTCTATGCCAACGACTCGTCTCAGTGAGTCAGTGCTTCCCGATCGGGTGATTTACGAGAATGATTCCGTGTCTATGCAATGATCTTGAATTTTCGATCTCGCTTAATTATTTAAAAAAAATAAATAGTTTTTGCTTCTACAACTCAGCTATTCTATTTGACAAAATTGTGGTATAAATTGATTTTGTATATGACTTGAAAGTTCGGAATATTTTAAAAAGTTCGAGGTAATAAACCTACTCAATTGACTACTATCATTATAAGACGAATAAAACTTGATTAGTTCTATCTCTATCGTATTACCTTAGTTACAAGTTATGATGTATTGGTAAAAATTGTTAGTATTAATCATTATTTTTTCTTCTACTTTGTAAAGAATCATTCTTAATCCCAAAAAATAAAAATAAAAATATATATTACATTTTTTAAATTGAAATAACGAGTTGCTAAATTAATATTGACTTTGATCATAATTAATTTTAAAATAAGTAACTAAACCAACATATTATTGAAATTTTCCAATGGACTCAAACTGAGTTAATATCTTAAAAGGTCACTGAACTATAAGAAATTATTTAGAAAAGTTATTGAACTATGTTTTGTATCAATAAAATCACTTAACTTTAGATTTTTATCTTCAAAAATCACTCAATTATATTTACCATTAAAATAAATTTGATATAACAAAATAAACTATATTTCCAACTGATGAAGCTTCAACTGCACATAAATTTTAGTTATTATGCCCATAAGTTAGTTTTATCATATTAAATTTATGCGCATAGTAACTAAAATTATTATGCGCATAAGTTAGTTATATATCACTCAAACTCTGATATCATAGATAAAAACTAACTTATGCACATAATAACTAATAAAACTTATATTACGCTTGATTTCTTGATAAGCAACAGAAAATTTGCCGACAATTTTTTAAAAGTTAAGATCATTTTAGAAAAAAATTGTTAAACAAAAATAAAAAATAACGTCATCATTTATGATATTCTATTTGTGCAATTTTCTCCGTTGGCTCCTACTTATGGAATTATTGTCCTTCTTTACCCCTTATAAATATAAAATATAATAAAATAACTAGTGACGATAATTTGTGCTATATACGAATCTAATAATATTAATATTTATAATAATTAATTATACTTTTTATGATATGTGAATAATATTTATAATTGACTGTACTATATATTAATTTAAAAATAAATTAGAAAACAAACTATAAGTTGATTTTCAAATTTAAATCATACTTTCAAATTTTCACGAAGAAACATTGATTTTTAAACTTTTTTTCTCTTCTCTATCAATAAAAAGAACACGCAATTGTTGTATCCAAATTTTCTTTGTTCTTTGGATAAACAACCCGTTCTACTTTACATATTAATTATTTATTTCAAATTATTTTTCAAAGTCTAAAATTATATATATATATATATTAATCAATATAAATATTACGATAAAATCGAGGAGTTTACTTTTGCCCCTTTTCTTTCTTCTTTTAAATACAAAACGATTGGAATAGCAAGATTCACGATTTTAAATGTACAATTAAAAATTAAATTTTAGATTATAAATAGATGGCTAATGAGAATCTTTATCCTACTCCATCTTCTTTAATAAGTGGTGTGGAAGGTCAAACTAATTAAATTTTAGATTATAATATTTATAGATGTAAGATGGTACATTGTATATATAACTAACGAAGTAATAGTTTTTAATAAACTAATAAGGCGTGTCAAAATTTGGATCACTTGATTTAAATAATCATCTATTTTAATTTGAAATATAATAATTTCTTGCTTTAAATTTTCCCAATAGGAGTTGTTTTATAACAAGTAGCATGCTACGCACTAATAAATACCCATTATTTAAAATTTATTTAGTTACATGTAATAAATACCGAGATAATTCTCTTAGGAGCGTCATTGACCCTGCAATATGCAATTCGAATTTAATTACAACTTCATTATGGGCTACGGACACCAAGTGGGGAATCAAAAAATAAAGAATTATATCATCAAGATTTCAAAATAAATAATTGTATTTTAATTAAATTATTTTCTAATTAATATTTTCTTATTTGGGAGTATGTAAAAAGTGAAATGGCAAGTAAAGTGGACAAAAAGGGAGTAGCAAGATTCACGATTTAATGTACAATTTAAAATTAGATAATATTTATAGATCTAATTAAGTAGTTCTTAATATACTAATAGGGCATGTCAAAATCTGGTTCACTTAATTATTATAATTATATAATCATCTATTAATTTGACAAATAATTTCTTACTTTAAAAATTGCAAGGAGGAATTATTTACTACAAATAGCATGTTACGCACTAAAAAATGCCTATTATTTTAAGATTTGATTTACATATATATGTATTTGGTATTCATGAGAAAATAATAATTGAGGCAAAGTTTTCATTGAACTATTCACTAGATAGTAGATAGACTTTTTTAATCCTCCACTCTACCAATTCTCATTTAAATAATTCACATTTCTTGAATATTTTAAATTCAACTCAATCCGCCCATTTGACACCTCTAAGAGTTAGATCATGCACTCTATATATAAGTATATAAGAGTTTTCCTCTTTCACGACAAATAAATTTTATTTACCTTCATTGATCATTTGTTTTCAATTTACACCACACCTTATTCTAAAACCCAACATGGATGAATGAATAATGTACATGAAAATAGAAATAAATAAATTCGACCGTGCAAGTTAGAGAGGATTAATTTATTATTCTTATTATTTAAATAAAGTAAAGAACACCAGCCGTGCCCAAAGTAGTATATTCTAGGAAGGACCATTCCAAAAGAAGCAAATATTATTTTTTAAACTAACGTATAAAATAATGAATCCACATGACTACATGAGCACTAACCACCAAAAATATTTTTAAAATATCTCATACACGCCACCCATGACTATCCTTTAATATTCGTGTTTTATTTTATTAATTAAGAAAAGTGCATTATATTAAAGATAATAATAATAATAATAATATTACATGATTCCCATTCTTAAAAGTTGTTGTTAGGTGATCATGTCTAATCACCACATAAAAAAAAAGACGACATTTTCATGATTATTACAAAAATTACTCAAAAATTATTTTTAAAATGATTGCGAAGATGAGGAGAACGAACAATTTTAATAATTTAAGTATGT